AGTTAGATCTCCCCAGCCATCCAATGTCTAAGGCAATCTCTAATTGAGTTAGATCTCCCCAGCCATCCAATGTCAAAAGCAATCTCTGTTTGAGTTAGATCTCCCAAGCCATCCAATGTCTAAAGCAATCTCTGATTGAGTTAGATCTCCCCAGCCATCCAATGTCTAAGGCAATCTCTAATTGAGTAAGATTTCCCCAGCCGTCCAATGTCTAAGGCAATCTCTGATTGAGTTAGATCTCCCCAGCCATCCAATGTCTAAGGCAATCTCTGTTTGAGTTAGATCTACCCAGCCATCCAATGTCTAAGGCAATCTCTGATTGAGTAAGATCTCCCCAGACATCCAATGTCTAAGGCAATCTCTGTTTGAGTTAGATCTACCCAGCCATCCAATGTCTAAAGCAATCTCTGATTGAGTTAGATCTCCCCAGCCATCCAATGTCTAAGGCAATCTCTGTTTGAGTTATATCTACCCAGCCATCCAATGTCTAAAGCAATCTCTGATTGAGTAAGATCTCCCCTGCCATCCAATGTCTAAGACAATCTCTGATTGAGTAAGATCTCCCCAGCCATCCAATGTCTAAGGCAATCTCTGATTGAGTTAGATTTCCCCAGCTGTCCAATGTCTAAGGCAATCTCTAATTGAGTTAGATCTCCCCAGCCATCCAATGTCTAAGGCAATCTCTAATTGAGTTAGATTTCCCCAGCCGTCCAATGTCTAAGGCAATCTCTAATTGAGTTAGATTTCCCCAGCTGTCCAATGTCTAAGGCAATCTCTAATTGAGTTAGATTTCCCCAGCCGTCCAATGTCTAAGGCAATCTCTAATTGAGTTAGATCTACCCAGCCATCCAATGTCTAAGGCAATATCTGATTGAGCCAGATCTCCCCAGCCAGATCTACCCAGCCATCCAATGTCTAAAGCAATCTCTGATTGAGTAAGATCTCCCCAGCCATCCAATGTCTAAGGCAATCTCTGATTGAGTTAGATCTACCCATCCGTTCAATGTCTAAGGCAATCTCTAATTGAGTTAGATCTCTCCAGCCATCCAATGTCTAAGGCAATCTCTGATTGAGTTAGATCTACCCAGCCGTTCAATGTCTAAGGCAATCTCTAATTAAGTTAGATCTCCCCAGCCATCCAATGTCTAAGGCAATCTCTAATTGAGTTAGATCTCCCCAGCCATCCAATGTCTAAGTCAATCTCTAATTGAGTTAGATCTCCCCAGCCGTCCAATGTCTAAGTCAATCTCTAATTGAGTTAGATCTCCCCAGCCGTCCAATGTCTAAGTCAATCTCTAATTGAGTTAGATCTCCCCAGCCGTCCAATGTCTAAGTCAATCTCTAATTGAGTTAGATCTCCCCAGCCATCCAATGTCTAAGGTAATCTCTGATTGAGTTAGATTTCCCCAGCCGTCCAATGTCTAAGGCAATCTCTTATTGAGTTAGATCTCCCCAGCCATCCAATGTCTAAGGCAATCTTTAATTGAGTTAGATTTCCCCAGCCGTCCAATGTCTAAGGCAATCTCTAATTGAGTTAGATCTACCCAGCCGTCCAATGTCTAAGGCAATATCTGATTGAGCCAGATCTCCCAAGCCATCCAATGTCTAAGAAAATGATAATGACATTGGGTAGATTTTTTTCCAAGCAGAAGAACCAACTTTCCTCCATCTTACCAAAGTCAATAATCTTCCAAGAATATAACTGTCCTCACTGTAACTGGAATATAAATTTCTGCAATCTGACCAATTTTGGAGTGTGTCATGTTGTTGAGTTCTGACTGTATTGTGGCTGTGCTGTATATACTGTGGCATGTTGTTGAGTTCTGACTGTATTGTGGCTGTGCTGTATATACAGTGTCATGTTAGTGAGTTCTGACTGTATTGTGGCTGTGCTGTATATACAGTGTCATGTTGTTGAGTTCTGACTGTATTGTGGCTGTGCTGTATATACAGTGTCATGTTGTTGAGTTCTGACTGTATTGTGGCTGTGCTGTATATACAGTGTCATGTTGTTGAGTTCTGACTGTATTGTGGCTGTGCTGTATATACAGTGTCATGTTGTTGAGTTCTGACTGTATTGTGGCTGTGCTGTATATACAGTGTCATGTTGTTGAGTTCTGACTGTATTGTGGCTGTGCTGTATATACAGTGTCATGTTGTTGAGTTCTGACTGTATTGTGGCTGTGCTGTATATACAGTGTCATGTTGTTGAGTTCTGACTGTATTGTGGCTGTGCTGTATATACAGTGTCATGTTGTTGAGTTCTGACTGTATTGTGGCTGTGCTGTATATACAGTGTCATGTTGTTGAGTTCTGACTGTATTGTGGCTGTGCTGTATATACAGTGTCATGTTGTTGAGTTCTGACTGTATTGTGGCTGTGCTGTATATACAGTGTCATGTTGTTGAGTTCTGACTGTATTGTGGCTGTGCTGTATATACAGTGTCATGTTGTTGAGTTCTGACTGTATTGTGGCTGTGCTGTATATACAGTGTCATGTTGTTGAGTTCTGACTGTATTGTGGCTGTGCTGTATATACAGTGTCATGTTGTTGAGTTCTGACTGTATTGTGGCTGTGCTGTATATACAGTGTCATGTTGTTGAGTTCTGACTGTATTGTGGCTGTGCTGTATATACAGTGTCATGTTGTTGAGTTCTGACTGTATTGTGGCTGTGCTGTATATACAGTGTCATGTTGTTGAGTTCTGACTGTATTGTGGCTGTGCTGTATATACAGTGTCATGTTGTTGAGTTCTGACTGTATTGTGGCTGTGCTGTATATACAGTGTCATGTTGTTGAGTTCTGACTGTATTGTGGCTGTGCTGTATATACAGTGTCATGTTGTTGAGTTCTGACTGTATTGTGGCTGTGCTGTATATACAGTGTCATGTTGTTGAGTTCTGACTGTATTGTGGCTGTGCTGTATATACAGTGTCATGTTGTTGAGTTCTGACTGTATTGTGGCTGTGCTGTATATACAGTGTCATGTTGTTGAGTTCTGACTGTATTGTGGCTGTGCTGTATATACAGTGTCATGTTGTTGAGTTCTGACTGTATTGTGGCTGTGCTGTATATACAGTGTCATGTTGTTGAGTTCTGACTGTATTGTGGCTGTGCTGTATATACAGTGTCATGTTGTTGAGTTCTGACTGTATTGTGGCTGTGCTGTATATACAGTGTCATGTTGTTGAGTTCTGACTGTATTGTGGCTGTGCTGTATATACAGTGTCATGTTGTTGAGTTCTGACTGTATTGTGGCTGTGCTGTATATACAGTGTCATGTTGTTGAGTTCTGACTGTATTGTGGCTGTGCTGTATATACAGTGTCATGTTGTTGAGTTCTGACTGTATTGTGGCTGTGCTGTATATACAGTGTCATGTTGTTGAGTTCTGACTGTATTGTGGCTGTGCTGTATATACAGTGTCATGTTGTTGAGTTCTGACTGTATTGTGGCTGTGCTGTATATACAGTGTCATGTTGTTGAGTTCTGACTGTATTGTGGCTGTGCTGTATATACAGTGTCATGTTGTTGAGTTCTGACTGTATTGTGGCTGTGCTGTATATACAGTGTCATGTTGTTGAGTTCTGACTGTATTGTGGCTGTGCTGTATATACAGTGTCATGTTGTTGAGTTCTGACTGTATTGTGGCTGTGCTGTATATACAGTGTCATGTTGTTGAGTTCTGACTGTATTGTGGCTGTGCTGTATATACAGTGTCATGTTGTTGAGTTCTGACTGTATTGTGGCTGTGCTGTATATACAGTGTCATGTTGTTGAGTTCTGACTGTATTGTGGCTGTGCTGTATATACAGTGTCATGTTGTTGAGTTCTGACTGTATTGTGGCTGTGCTGTATATACAGTGTCATGTTGTTGAGTTCTGACTGTATTGTGGCTGTGCTGTATATACAGTGTCATGTTGTTGAGTTCTGACTGTATTGTGGCTGTGCTGTATATACAGTGTCATGTTGTTGAGTTCTGACTGTATTGTGGCTGTGCTGTATATACAGTGTCATGTTGTTGAGTTCTGACTGTATTGTGGCTGTGCTGTATATACAGTGTCATGTTGTTGAGTTCTGACTGTATTGTGGCTGTGCTGTATATACAGTGTCATGTTGTTGAGTTCTGACTGTATGGTGGCTGTGTATCAGACATCAGAATACCTGTTGATGGTTCACTTAGGTTGTGTTCTATTTTCTACAGATGATTGTTCACAGATTCAGGTTTATTTTCAGCGCCTGCCATGTGGTTTTGTTGGCGTCACTTCTCCACTTGGTATACCTACGTGTTTACAATGGCCACATGTCTGTGTGTATGGGGTGTTTTTTGTACCTAGTTTGTACTGTAAGGAGCAGGTGCTATCCCAGACATAACAGCACTTCCTCAACTGATTAACAAGGCCGAGAGCTGCCAATTATTTCCTATTGTACAACCCAAGTGGCCTTCAGATATGTCTCTAGTTCTAACACTGGTAACAATGTATTAGAGATGGGGGTTCATGTCCCAAGGCAGGACTGGGAATTTGTTTTATGTTACGGTTTTTTAACTTTTTTGTTACACATTCCTTACTTATTCAATATCTAGGAATTGCTGTACATATTTTCGTTTTTATCAGCCAAGTTTCTGATATGCTGCGACAATAAATTACCAGATCAACGTTAAAGTATGTCATACTACAATCCTAATATGGTTACTTGTCAAATGCATTCGGTATATTGTACAATAATGTAACACATTATCTGAGAAAAAACATTTTGTTAATCTTTAATATAATATTAATTTTGTTACCGCAAGTATGATCTTTTTAGCATTCTACAATTTTGCCATGTAACAACCCTTGGTCAATCACCATGTGTTATTAGACGATAGACCATGGGCGTGCATGTATGATTTTTCAACAAACCAACATTCTTCTAAAAACCTCCCGCACTAATGTAAACAAGCCTTTATGAACATTATAGTGTACACCAATGAGTATATATATGTTTGTGTTTTACAGAGATCAGGGGCAGATAACTCTAAACAGATACAGCAATGGTTGATGGTCCTTAAGGAGCACAGTTCCTCAGAGCAGTGTCCACTTCTACAGGTCAGCTGTGCCAAGGTCATAGGTCAGAATGTGGACCTCCTGCTGGTTGACTCGGAAAACAAACTAGGTTGGTATGAAATACAGCATTTATTTGTATTTGTATGAATAATATTTCATATTTCATAATTACATCATACACTTTAAAAGAAAAATATATGGAGAACCCTTGATCTCCAGGTTCCTATTCGGATGCTCTGCCACTGAGCTAAAGGGAAATTCCCTCTAGCTCGAAGCTAGAGGGCGACCATAATCCTATGTACAATTAAAATCTGCCACAGGAGCAATATAGCCAGAAAGCCCGTTTCTTTCCCAGACGTATTCCTAGTTATACAGTAGGCACTTTTGGTGAGACAGGACTTTTATCAAAAGGTTTCTGTTTATATTATTGATGTTTCAGTTTTGAATTTGTGGTTACATTTAGATTGGCAGTTGGAGGGTAGGGTTACTAGAAGTGTTTACTGTTTTGTTTATTTTGTCAATTCATCGTATTACAAATTTTTTAAAAATATCACTGCTATAAATGGTACATCGTTTATAGTATATGTATCCCTCTCTCTATAAAGTAGATATAAAACTGTATACAGTAGATAGAAAACGTTATACAGTAGATAGAAAACTGTATACAGTAGATAGAAAACGTTATACAGTAGATAGAAAACTGTATACAGTAGATAGAAAACATTATACAATAGATAGAAAACGTTATACAATAGATATAAAACGTTACACAGTAGATATAAAACTGTATACAGTACATATAAAACTGTATACAGTAGATAGAAAACGTTATACAGTAGATAGAAAACTGTATACAGTAGATAGAAAACGTTATACAGTAGATAGAAAACTGCATACAGTAGATAGAAAACGTTATACAGTAGATAGAAAACTGTATACAGTAGATAGAAAACGTTATACAGTACATATAAAACTGTATACATTAGATAGAAAAGGTTATACAGTAGATAGAAAACTGTATACAGTACGTATAAAACTGTATACAGTAGATATAATATGTTATACAGTAGATATAAAACTGTATACAGTACATACATGTATAACCGATTATACACTACATGTACTGTGAACAGAAACAGCACAGAAGAAAGATTTAGGCGATTTAACTTTTAACTGCTTCCTATTCCATTTTATAATATTTTCATATTCCGAATAGTTATTGAAGTTGCTTATCTAAAGGACCTAGAAGTAAAGTTGATGTGACAACATATTTTTGGTGGGTTTTTTTCCTTTTAGCTACGCTTTAATTTTCCCTGAAGAATTGCCCTCGTTACCTGCGGTTGATTTGTTGTCTAGATAATGTAATCAGTGATGTTATGTTATCATGTCAAAGTTATGAAACTTTGATGGCAATTTTTAAGTGACCTCAGAAACGCTTAAAAAATAAATTCTTCTTTTGCAGCAAGGCAAAAGCTGAAATAGATTAAATTCTTCATATTCTCAAATCAGCATAAAATACTGATTGCAAAATTATTGTCAGAAGTCAGTTTCATAATTTCAGTGAAAAGGATAAAGAGGTATGGCGGAAAACTGCCTGTATTTCCCTTAGTCGGCATTTTTGAAAATGGAAAAAATTAATAATGAGTAAGTAATTTTTAGTAGCAAAAATGCATGGAATAGATATAAATATTGAATATGAATTTTTGAACTGTTGAGATATTCGGTATTGTTAATATAATACTGCAAATATAGCCATATTCACTATATCTATGAAAGTGACGGGGTTTCCCAGACTTAAAAAAATACTTTTAATACTTTCCGATCCGAGGACCATCTTTTGAATAAACTTTTTGATTCCGTGATGTAATATGCAAAAACAAATCGTATGACGGAAAAGTGGTCCTCCTTTGGGAAAGTGCTCAAAATAATGAAAAACAGGGTTGATCAAGTTTTCAAAACTGCGACAGATGTTTCTTGGCTTAAAGGAGTTTGTATTTCCATGTTCGTCTATGTCCGGTGTAGCCTAATGTGTAACGCAGTTAGCTTGTGACCAGAAATATGAACGGTGTAGGTTCGAATTCACATTCAGATTCACTTTTTTTCTTCTTTCTTTTTTAATATTTAGGCAAGTGATCATTTTCCTTAGTAAAGTGAAAAATAGTTTTCAAATCAATTGAACATTTTATTGATATTTTAATAACTTACCTATTGATTTTTCTTCTATGGGATCATGTTAACAAATCCCTGTACGCGTGCACAGTCCAGCTACACTTTGTTTTATGAATTGTTTTACACTCCAATTGGCACTAGTATTTTTATATTAAAAAAAAAAGGCAAAGGGAAAAAAAAAAGTGTTATTATCGAAAACCGAACATGCAGGAAATTCATCGTCGAGGACAGTCTCATTTATTAGCTCACCTGCCCAAAGGGCAAGTGATCTTATGCCATGGTGCGGCGTCCGTCGGTCGTCCGTCGTTCTTTTCAGTAACCAAAAGGCTTAGGATNATTACCTTGACCCACGTTCAACCTAATGTCCTTGTTCGACATTCAAGGTCACAGGCGTCATATGTTTAAATCTTTTAATAGGTTCTTATGAATCAAACACTGATATTCTGCCTGTAGTTGTATTTTAGCCCACTTTTTAGATTACAAGTGTGAGATTAATACCAGGTGAGCGATTCAGGCCCATTGGGCCTCTTGTTTTAAATGCAGGAAGACTTCAGCACAAAGTAAGGAGCGCAATACATGTGTAAGACATGCTATTCGAAAGCTATATGTAATTTTACCATTCCAAGGTACAGGAAGAACAAAATCAAGATGCGTGCTTTTTAAGAAAGCTTGTAACGGCATGATGTAGGCAATAGCAATGAGAATTTAATCCTTTCAAACTTGGTAATGATTGTACGATCTTGTGTTTTATACAGCATAAGCCGAAATAAGCATTTTGTTGAGTCTTTATCGTGAAACGCATGTATTGATAGCCATGACCTTAAATTCCTCTGTTTACAATAATCTATTCTTAGATACGGGATTCCGATAGAGCTATACCTGTATAGAAATACCTGAGTACGCGTCATAACAGTACACGGTTGGACGCGCGCACTAGCAGGTCATAGATTTGGGGGAATAGGCATAGCAACCCGCCATAGCTCTTTGTTTTATTCTGCGGAAGAATTCTGTCATTTTTCATTTCACTTATTCAATTTAAATTAATGTGATATGATATAAACACAATTTTCAGACAGCCATGCATACTTCCCAGCCTTTCAAAAGAGAAACGGCATTCAAAATTCTTTTTTAAACCTTTCTTAAAAGTATAGAAAAAACTAGAGTTTGATAATATTATACTCATGTTTGAGTTTGTTCTGTACAATGCATTTAATAAATTTCAACAAAAAGTAAAAATAAATTCTGATGTTTTCAAATAATTTTAAAAGTATGGTGTACTCTCAAAGTTCTCACAACTTTTAATAAAGAGCCTACAAGAAAAACTACAGCTGATAAATAGTGGTTTGTGTCAAACCTTTAAGTATAACACCAAAATTACATGGATGCAAAACAATACCTGCACACTACCTGGCTGACTGGGAATTTGTACAGTAATTGAAATATTTAATTTGTCAAACTGATTGAGATTTTACTGTATTTGAAAAATATCATTAATTATGTCAGGTTCTGCAGGCACTGTATCCCTTGTATAGCCATGTGGCATATTAAATCTGAGTTACTTCCCTTCCACTGGAACCGCCAACCCATTTGATGATCTAGGGTGCTCAGGTGCCATAGACCATACTTATCTATGAAACGAAAAACCTGAGAAGATAAATAAATCTGTATTACAATTGAGACATTTAGATAGATAGATAAAGATAACAATTAAAGAACAACACAGGGTCATTATGGAATTTGCAAAAAGCCCATAACAAACTTAGGTATTGCTATATATACAGTTACTGTAAATCTTCAGTCAGTTGGTTGATAACCTGTGTACAAAGGTATTGTCTCAGATTTAAACGCTTCATGAATTCTGTTTCCAAAGGACACTGAAAATTGTTTCTCATGATGGTCTGTTTTCATCTACTCGTTAGGTACGGTAATATGTAAATGCATATGTTCTGCTTTAAAGTAAAATCCCTGTGAAACACCAACTTGTTGGAGATTTTTTCTATCATATAACTTACCTTTAGTAAAATAAAAGCTTACATGTTTTATTTCACAAAACTAAATGAAAGAAAACAAAGAGAAATGGCATCTTATTTATACACATATAACAGGAGAGATAAAAATGCATGGCCAGACTGGGATTCGAACCCAAGACCTTTAGACTCTAGACAGATGCTCTAACAAATTCAGCTATGGACTAGGTCCAGTTCTGCTATATTCCTCCCACCTCCAACAAAGTCGTTTGCACCCAAAGACACACGAGACCCTTAACTACCCTTCATGGGTGTATTTAGTGCCAAAAGTAACAGGAGATAACATAGACACAGCCATTCCAGGATTCAAACCCGGTACCGCCTCATCTCTAGAACTGGTTGCCAACAATCGACCCAGTCCAGTTCCCCTACAAACATAACAGCGGCGCGGCTGCTATGTTAAAATAAAATATTTATATGATGATGATGTTATTCTATTGAGTACCATTTAAGAAGTAATCTTGATCAGGTCCCAGGTGTCACAAAGTAACATATTCAGTTACATAGAAATCAAATTTCTTAAACATATTTGTTTGATTGGAAACAAATTTGTTCCAGTAGTGCTTTTCTCCCAAATAGGTACTGTAATCATATGATTCCACAGTCGGTGATACATAATACCATTTCCAATATTAGGTATTTTATGGTCATATAAATACATTGAAAAGTGCCATAGAAGGCGATTAATTAACTGTCTATGTGGTAGATATGTTAACTCTCCTGGTTCAGGTCTTCCCTGATGATCTGATTGTAGGACATGTACGTTTGATATCATTCCAAACGATCAATAAACAGCTTTGGGAGGTTAATTATAACCGTCCCTGTTTGTTACCTGTAGGCCTTTAACCGCCACAGATCTAAACAGGGTAGATAACTCTCACTTATTGTTTCAATAAACCCTGTGACCTGGGTG